CCAGAGTGTTGTTCAGCATGGGGGGGAGTAGAAAATGAAGGCTAATCATGTTTTGGGTGTACTATTCCTTTAAATCTACTTTGACCTCTGAGCAGAGGGGGTTAATGTATTTAAGGAGAAAAGGAATGTTTTTTGTTCTTTGCTTTTTTGGAGTAATGAAGATTTTATTGATCTGTGTGTAATGCATAATTCAAAGTAGATCAGGAAAAGTTTGCTCTGGGATGGAAACCTTGTATGTCTAAAACTATTCCTTTATCGTACATCTTGTTAGCTTTTCTGTCGCGACATTAACCAATATTATGTGTTGAGCTAAATCTACTTTTTTCACAACTTTTGTGAGAAACTTTTATATAAAGTAGGGCATTAATTCATGAAAAAGTTCATTTGAATTCTATAAATCAAAGTTTTCTGCCCAACAGCACAATAAACTGCATGGCATTCTATACCAGCAACTGTAGTATCTAGGCTAGAGCTGTCAGTCTGGTAAAGAATCTGCTTGTTATTCAAAATTGTAAAAGTTAACATTTTTGCAAACTGAAACTAGACTTAAACTTTTTTAAGTTCTAGTCGACTAAAACCGACTAAAATTATCACATATCTTAATGACTAAAATGGGACTTTCTAAAACTAATAATAATTAGACTAAATCTAAGATGGCTGTCAAAAACAACACTGTCCGATCAATGATCTGTGATTGATTTTATACAAGAAACCAACGATTGAGAGAAAATAACTGGTTATAGATTTCAGAATAGATTAAGAAATGTTTGTTATGAGGAAAATCAGCTAAATTAAAGCAACACTGCGTGACCTTTGACCCTTACATTAGAAGTACATCATCTGGTTGCCCTCTTACAGCTCATCTCTTCATGTCTGGTTAGATTTCTAACTTTTTAGACCAATTTTAGTCGTCATTCACTGAGATCAGCCTCATCTCCAAATAATTGATTTTGGATGATAGTTTGTCCTCTCAAAGCCTCCATTATCTTCATCTGAAGATTTCCTTCTGCTTCCCAGATCAGCTCAGAGACGCTGCTTACGGCACCAAGACTCAAGTCTTCAAGGCAGAGCTGACGGAGGAAGATGAGTCGGATGAAGCCGTCAATCTGGAGCGTGGAGAGAACCTCCTGGAGCTGCAGATAGTCGGAGCCACACTGTCTCCTTCCGCTCTGAAGGTTCTCAACGACGAAGATCCCTATACCTTCTGCACCTACTCCTTTTACCTGTTCGAGCCGCACTCCACCCCAGTGATGAGTGGCCGCTGTCCTAGATACGGTTATACCTCCAAGTACGTGGTGAGCATGGACGACCCCTTCATGGACTACCTGCACAGGTAAATCAGACACCTGGAGATGACTGCTGGTTTTATTTGTTTTTACACCTTCAAATCACTCAGATCAGCTACTGGAAGCTCGGTGGAGATTAAACTTTTGTTGTCGCAGCTCATAAATTATGGAAAAGAGAGACTCCTCCTCTTCTTTTTGACTTAGTTGTTGATTTATTTTGATTTTGTCAATATCTGTGACATTTTGTTTTTCCATCTGTTTTTTTGGCACAGGGGCTCCGTCACGGTGGACCTGCATCAGGCGCTGGGAGTGGACTGGAGGACGCCGGCGGCAGCTCAGCTCAGGCTGCATCAGCTGCTGGAACAGGAAGGAAAGGTTTTCGGCAGCATCCCACTGGTTGGTGAGGGACATACCTGTGTATTTATCTACTGTAGGTCAGGGTCAAGCTTGAAAGGTTCGGTGTAGGCAACTGGACGTGAAGTTCTCTAGAAGACGTTTCTCCTCACATCCAAGAGGCTTCTTCAGTTTCATCAGAAGTAGGGAGCTCTGAGGTTAATATACAGTAGGTGTGATTGCCTACAGTCAATTTGATTGGTGAGTGAAAACGCTTTTCAATACAGATCACTTTGCATCATTTTATTTCACAAAACATGAAGTAAAATGTAACTCCCATTCTGTTTAAATGAGTCGGTTTGAACGCATTTATGGGAAAATAATCTCTTTTGTAAGATCTCTAAATCTGAGAGGAAAAACCTGCCTCTACTGTCAACCAGTGGCTTAACACTGGCCAATAAAGTAAAAGAAAATAATAAAAGGCCCGTACTCATAGTCAGGTGACCTAAGCACGTTACATTACATTCACCCATTCACTCACACAGTGATGATATTTGTGACCCCCAGTGGAGCCACCAGGGGGTGGCCATGGCCACGCTGTGTGATACCCTGGCCACCCCACTGGCCAGTGTAAGCTGTAGTACCATCAGTTTAGCATTTCATCCCATTATGCATACCCAGCGACATAACATTAAAAATCACACAGTAGGGCGTGCAGGTGGCGCAGTGGTTAGCGCACACGGCCCATGATGGAGGTCTTAGTCCTTGACGCAGCTGACCCGGCTTCGAAATCGGCCTGTGGTCCTCTGCCTCATGTCTCTCCCCCTCTCTCACACCCCCTTTCCTGTCAGCCTACTTTCGAAAACAACAAAAGTCATAGAAAGTCATAACAAACAAAACTGAACATTTTAATAAGGTTCAATTTTATTTCTAAATCGATTACCGTAATTTTCGGAATATTAGCCGCACCTGAATATAAGCCGCAGAAGCTAAATTGCATGATTTGTACATATACAAGCCGCACTGGACTATAAGCCGCAGGTTTTTTATGTTTAA